AGAGCAAATACTACTTGGCAGGACATTATCGCGGGTTTCTCTAGAAAGCAAAAAGATGAAGAGCAAATTTTATACCACGAAATGTCACAGAGACCCGAAAATCTTCTTACCGACATTGACGCCGCCAGTGAACAATTGGTGCATTTACAATTTTTCCGCGAGCGATTAGAACAGCGGGCGCACCAGCTCAACGACCAATCTTCTGCTCAAACTCAAACAACCTCCCCAGCAATAACTCCACAAGCACAGCTGGCAATCAACCAGACAGACGAACAACAACCGATTCCCATCTTCAGGCACTTTCCATATCCGAGCTTGCAGAATCCCGATATACCTCCATTAAAACTGCCGCAATTTTCGGGCAACTTAAAGACTGGCCAGCCTATTGGAGTACTTTCCAAGAGCTAAGTCACAACACTGCAATGCCCGATATCAAGAAGCTATGTTACTTGTGTGAGACCTTATCCAGTCTCCCCAGCATTCCGGTTTCCAGCTTTGCTAAACGACCTGAGAATTACAAGGCGACCATTGAATTATTGAAGGATAAATACGAGCACGAACATGTTATCCAAGCCATCCTGCACCGCGATCTTTAAACTATTCCCCCGATTACTCACGAAAACGACTTGCCGCAGTTATGTTGCACATTGGATTCAGTTCTTCGCCAACTCACAGCTCTGGGGGACGATATAAATCATCCCAATATCGTAGCAGCAATCGAGGCGAAGCTGCCCTTTGAGACCATACAACAAGTGTGCAGAGCGAAGCGACAAAACCTGCAGTGGTCGGTCTCTCACCTTTGCCAACTCATCAAGGAAACGCTTGCGGACAGACTCAAAGCACGAGCTATAACTATCTCGGTCACTATAAATAAGGCTTTTTCCAGAACACGCGATTCGGTAGCGACAACCGCTAAACCGCCACAACAGAAGACGAAAAAACCTTCTCCTAAACAAGTTCCGACTACTAATTGTGCATTTTGTGAGGGTCGTCACTACAATGATCATTGTTCGGTATATAAGTCTATTGATGAGCGGCACGCACGTGCTACTCAAAAGCGAGTTTGTCTTCACTGCTTGAGACCGGGCCACTCTACTAAGACCTGCAAATCTCACTTAAACCGTGTTTTTATTGCAAAGGCAATCGTTCCGCAGCATTATGTACTAAGAAGAGTACTGCGACTCCGGCGACATCAGTAACGACAATAAGTACGCAAATTTTGCCTACAAACAACGACAGCATTTTGGAAGAAAAAGAACTTGCAAATACAACGACAGTGTGCTCCAACTCAACGTCACCACTCTGAAACCACAAACTCTTCTCATGTGTCGCAAAACGAGAATATG